GCTGGGCAGCTCCCCCCTGCACCGCGGGGTCTCGGCTCGCCATCTCGCTCGTCCACATCGTAAACACCTCCGCGGAGGCCACAGATGCAGGAGGCAAAAAGATCCTCCGAAGCATCCCTGTGGACCTCGGCCCCGGGGATCGCCGAGTGTTTCCTTGGTTCTGCGGGAGCCTGGAGATGAAGACGGCAGCAACAGCTGGCCCCGGCTCCAGGGCCGGCCCCGCTCCAACCCGAGGGTCTCCGGGAAGAGGCCCACCTGCGCGTCAGCCGCAGAGCGGGCTCCCTCACACCCTGGGCCTCTAGAACAGTGCAGCAGGTCTGGGCAGGACAGAAGGACACAGGGACACAAGGGGGTTTCAAGTAACAACTGCAGGTCATTTGCTGAAAAACAGCTGCTCCTAAGAGGATTCTTGTTTTGTGTCCAGAAAACTCAGCCCCTGGACACAGGTAGCTTCGGCGGCTCTCACAAACCTCCAATGGGTAGTTTATTTCCCACTCAGCCAAAAAAACAAAGTCACCAGGTAATTAATCACTTTTAAAAGTTCTCCCTCAGGAATGGATATCGCCTAAGGCATTTGGAAAGGGGATCCATAAGAACCCCACATACCACCCGTCTCTGTTTTCCTTCAGAAGGTTGTAAACTCTAGTCCCCGATAATCCCATGCCATTTCTCACAGGGACAGCACTGCGGCACATGGAGGGGTGGGGTTCTCTCCCAAACCCACCTGTGGGACACGGAGTGGCCTGGCTTTACTGGTGGTTCACCCCTTCCTTATTTTTGTTAGAGTATAGACAACTCTGGCTCCCTTTCTCCCTAGCTAGACGGCGAGGAGGCTGCAGAACAGCTACCCACCAGCAAATCAGCTTCATTTCAGGTTTCAAATGTGCAGTTGGAATCTTCATTCAGGCGAAACTCAATCAGTCCACAGAGGAGGAACACAAAATCTGTTCTCAAGATCTGTCCTCACAGTGCCTGTGGTTTCCAAAGGAACTGTAATCAGAACACTTTTAAATGCCATCTCTTCCAAAGTAAAAAAAAAAAAAAAAAAAAAAAAAAAAAAAAAA